ATAATGACCATGAGATGGTAAAATAATACTAGGAATTGTTTAGAAAAATTTTTAAATTATAAATATAAAATTATAACAACCATGAGATGGTAAAATATTCTAGAATATTTGAATATATTTTAAATACATTCACTACTAACTCTCATGCATTTGTGAAAACCCTAAGTTTTGGTTATGAAGGTCCTATGCTCTCTAGAAACAGCGTGCCAACATTAAGGGACTCCTCTCTTCAGGTACGTCATCTGGAGATCAATCCTGAAAATCTTCTAGTGTGGAGGAAGAAAGGCTCGATCTCTTCTACGTGGACAGTGTGAAGAGACAGAAATTCGCTTTCTGGGGTGGAGGTGGTGGTGGTGGAGCAGTGATGGCCGCCAGTGGCAAGAAAGAAGAAAAAGAGATCTAAGTTTTGCCTTTTATTTCTTGTGTTTGGAACTCTCGAGGTTTTACGGTTTCAAATGAGGGTTTGGATTCAGCATAGCGACCGCCCGGCGTTACAGTTCGAGGTCGGCGCAGATGGTTTGATCGATGTAGCGGCCGTTTGCAAGCAGTTCCTCCTCGATCCGAATGCAAATCTCCACGTTTCAGGAGTGGCCATCGAGATGATTGCTGCTAAGGCAAGTAGAACTCTAGATTCTATCTTGGGGGCGGCCACTGAAGGTGGGGATGGCACAACTAAAGACAATGCCTTGATCATAAGGGAGGACCGTTATCTTTGGTTTCGACACCAGAAACCGGTATTTCTCTTGTTTTCTGAAGTTTTTTGTGCTCATACGTGATGTCCAGGATGGTTCGACCGACACAGTTGGATTATTCTCGGACGGTCTTTTTGACTTGCAAGACCTTTGTAGCACATTCGGTCTCGACCCCTCAAGCGCTGTACGTGTTGCTGGCCTTCGTCTAAAGTTTACGGACAAAGGAAGGAGTCTACACACTGTCCGGAAGGTTCAAGGTGTTGGAGGCATCGAGGATGGCTCGTCGCGAGATACTGCGTTTACTGTTGAAGGCTCGCCTGCTACGACTCGTAAGTTATTTCTTTCTTTTTTCTTTTCGTTCTTTTATCATAGGAAACTAAACAACTCCCATGGTTTGCAGCCGGCCTGGCCCTTATTCCTGACAAATTCAAAGCAGTCTGTAGTGTATCAAGCCCGAGCGCCGAAGTTGCCACGCTGGAGGGGATTGAAAGAACTCTGGACAACAAGCTTTTCAAGGATATGAGAGCGGAACGTGGTATGCCGATTGCACTCGGTGCCAGAGCATTCGGAATCTTCATCGACACTTTCAATTCCATGGCGCCTCTTGAGGCAGGACTTCTGGCTGCAGCGCGTGACCTTCGTGACCGTATGAAGAAGTTTTATCGGACGGAAGCACTTCGGCGGCAAGAATTCGCGAAGTTCCTCGAATCGTATCTGGACGACGATAAGTACGTGGTGGTTGCTAACCGGGATGCAGTAAAGTTAAAGATCGGGAAGCGATCTCGGGATGACAGCAGCCTGAGGAGGACTCCTGATGTACAGGTGAAAGCCAGGATACTGGGTATACTGGTGGTTCTTCTCACCTGCGAGGTGAAACCGGAGATGGGTTTCAATGGCGAGCCGCTCTTGGAGGCCCTCTTTTATTATGGGACTGATGCTGCAGAGAGCGTTGTTGTTAGTCGGCACCACTACACAGGCTGTCCAGAGCTGATTGTCGAGCTTGTTGGCCCCAACATTCGCGTTGGCGGGGCCATATATCACGACAAGGCCATTTATCAACCCTTGACCGACTTTCTATCCCTGCTTGATTTCGAGGATGATGCTCACCTGTTCAGGTAAGTTTGATACTGGATGGAAGCTTACATTCAGTGCTCGTTTTCGTTGCAGTTGATGCGGTTTCTTCATGCGACTCGACAAGCTTTGAAAGAACTCGTGAAGGTGTACACTAGCGCTCTTACACTAACTGGAGTGCCTGTTCGAGTAGATACCCTGCACTGGCCGTATGCGCTTCGAGAAAAGTATCCAGATGCTGCTGCGGTCCATCAGATAAAAAACACTCTTGTTTACATGGTTACGACTGGCAGTGGACAGCGAAGGGTGGTGAAGTTTGTCAGGCAGTACGGGGAGGATGCGCATGCGCAGTGGGAGCAAGCTGGATATGCACCGCACCATACGATTGAGGAACTCCCAGGCGGTTGGAAAATGGTGGTTATGGACTGCCTCACAGTGGCAGATGGATGGCGATCGCTGTTGGAGCTCCGTGGCATGGAGGAGACGACGTTTGATACTTGGAAGACCATGCAGGATGCAGTTTGGCGGGCACTACTGCAGCTACAAGCTTTGCAACCTACGATGGTGCATGGTGATCTGAGGTTAAACAACATCATGTACAACGTCCAAACGGGGCAGCCTTGTTTCCTCGATTTCGATTGGGCAGGACAGGATGAGATGGTTCACTACCCACTGAACTTGAGCTCTAAGATTGCCTGGCCAGCTGGAGCGACGCCCATGAGCAACATCAAGGCGATCCACGACCGTGAACTCCTTCAAAAGGAGCTTGAAATGATCTCGACATGAAGCATGTAAGGGGTGCAGATATTGGGACCACCAGGACGTCCCCTAGCAAGGATACCAAATTGTCTTGTCAGAAGCAATTAAGTTCTAAGTAATGGAATAATTTGCTGTGTTTAAGTAATATTTCCCAAGTTGTTAGATATTTAAATTTGCTATGCTTTTAGTAAGTATTTTGTGTAGTTGTATCAAAGCAATTGCACCCATGTATCTTGCTATTAGAAATTTAAAGCTCTAGATCCTGTCAAGACAGGTTCTAAAGCTGTTATGACATGATTTTTAATTAAACTTCCTATTCAATAACAACAAGTTGAATAATATTATAGTGGCATTAGGTGTTATTGGCCTTGAGGGACGAGCATATACTTTTATTTTGCACTGGTAAACAACCAAGATCTAAAGTCCATAAGGTCACTTCAACATTAAGCCATGTTAATTTGACATATAGATTTTAGATTTATAACTAATACTAAAAGTTTGAGTATAAATCCCTTTTCAAGAACTATTATTCTTTTTATAATTTCTTCTTGTGTAGCCATTTAATCTTTCAATATGCAAGGGCCACAACATAAAAGGCTGTCCATAGAAATGCTATAGAAGACTGCTAGTGACAATTATTACTTATGGCTTAACATAAAGGTAAACTTAAGGTAAGGTATTCTTTCTAGGAGGTTTTAATTTAGAAATTTAAACAACAGTTTATATTATTAAACCTTGATTTTAACAGCAAAGCATCTACAATATGAATAGAGGTACATTGATGTTAAAACTCTTACCATCTAATATATAGAGCCAAATCAAAGTATTTAATATATATAATGTTTCTTTCCTCAGCTTTATCCTGTTACATATACAATAATTTTAGCAAGGGACAATTTAGAAAAATCCTCTCTCTTTCTTGTTTGGATTGAGTCTAGTGTCCAGAGGCTTTGATCACGATTTGCTTTCTCATTTTTCGAGTTAGTTTTGATTCTTTGACTCCATATGAGTGACTGTACCTAGCTTCCCATTGATTTAGTTTGCAAATATGATGTTTTCTTTGGATGGTATGCAGCTCTTTGTGACTATGTGAGTGTGAATGAGAATATCAGACGAGACAAAGAGAAATGAAAAGTGGCTGGCTTACTAATATTAATTAAAAACTAGTAGTAAACATTTAAATATTTAGGATTTTATAAATGCTTAAGCCAAAGAAACTAGTAACTCACTTTAGAATTACACTAACAAACTAATCCTTGTAATCCTGTACATTGAAGATGCCTTCCTCTTCACAGTGAGGAAGGGAGGGAAGGGAGGGCGGGGCATGATGATAGCTGTGGGGATCCATGCCTATTGTTGTCTGGTAGATAGCATACTTGATGGCTCACACTGTTCTTGCTAGCAGCTATTGCTCAAAAGCCTATGCCATCCACCAGCTATAATCGTCTATTGGACTCTTGAGCACCTCGAGATCAAGGCCAAGCTTTGCTGTCCATTTCTTGAGCTCAGATCACCAACCTCCATTTCGCTCGTATACATCAGGCTGATGGAGTCATCGATAGCTTAAATCAAGAGCTTTCGTTTGCAGCTGCCGCTGGGTCTTCACTTAATTGATCATCCGTTTCCACACAAGGAGCTCCAAGGGCCATAATTCAGACTCGAACAGATGATAGGATATGACACATCTCCTGTATGAAGCTCCATGCGGATAAAGTGGTATTGGAGCTCCTCCACTTGATCCCAGAGAGCATCCATCATTCCTAGACAAGATGACCGTGGAGAGTTCAGCTATGAAAAGTTGTCGCTTGGCACTTCAGTGGGTGACAAGTGCATTGGAACAATCTGAGTGGAATGCAAAGTATGCACCACGTGCCGCCGTAATGCAATCTATGATCCCCACCTTTCATGGATTGTTCTTGTGGATAATATATCTGAGGTACTTGTAATGGTCTACTTTCTGAAGTGCAATCCCATGGTAGGAGCATACCCTGGCCCAACACCATTGACTTCCATGCATGTGGCCTCACAGAATTCGCTGAGTGCATTGAGGTAAGCTGCATTTGGCGAGCTGAGGAGCCGAACAGAGTATATCATTTACGTAAAGCAGTGCATATAAATACATTCCCGAGAGTTGGTATGGCGTGAGTGTTTTGCCCTCATGGACTCTAGTGCGTCAATGTAGATTGCGAAGAGTCAGCCGTATGCTTTTCTTTAACGTCCGTTGCCAAAAGACGATTA